AGCAGTGATTAAAAGAATACAGTAATTTCCTTGTAATTATTTCGGGGCATAAGCTAGCCGAGCAGGCGGCTGGGGTGCTGGGAACGCAGCCCCGCCGCTCCTATTACTACAACAGCTGTGGAAAAACGAGTCACCTCTCTGTAACTTCCTTTCTCTTCTACAAAAAGGAGTAAGTGGGAACAAAGAACCAATGGCTATAGAATAACGAGGGTGTCATGGGGCCCATGTGGCATGTTTATCAGTCATTGTGTCCCTCACCCACATAAGACCCTGGGTGGAGGTTTAGAGCACTTCGTTCTCAGGCAAAGGCTGGCAGACGTACATCCTTGTCAAGAGGTTAGTAGCTATCCTTTCTTAGCCTCTTGGCTACCATCAGGTGAAAAGATGAGAGAGTGAATGAGAGGCCAGTACACAAGTAGGTAGTCTTGGCAACTACAGAGATTGTCAACACACGGGATCTGGGAATCCAAGAGGGGATGAAAGCAAGGTCAGCCAATAGATCTCATTATAATCTAAGAAATAAGCCATTGAACACCCAAAACTTACAGCTTCAGGATGCCCTGAAGGTGGCCTGTGCCCATGCAGAAATCAGGATGGAACAGTCACTGGTCCTTAAAAGACCTGTTTACATAAGGCCTGCATCTCTGTCACTGATTCCACGGCTTCTGACGGTTTCATGCTGACTGTAGTCAGGGAATATTTAACTTAAAGGGGGAGGAGAATTACAACTTCAGAGGAAAAGGCAGATGACCCAGCACTGAAGTGCTGACCACTAACAAATGGACATCGCCACAGCTGGAAATCATACCTGTAGTAACTGGAGAAAGGGAGAGCCACTTTCACCTCAAAGGTTCTGGATGAGAACTCAGAAGTCACCCCAAACTGGATCAACCCAATGCTTCATGCAATCAGAACCATATCTAGTCCACGAGGACAACTTCCAGAGAAGTTTATGAACGTGTCTGCTAATTGTCTTCCTTGATGTCAGACCAGCAAGCCCCATGGATCTACCTCTCTCCACATCACTCCAATACTTGGATTAAAAGTATGTGCCACCTTGCCCGTTTTTGTTTTATTTTCAAACACAGACTGAGAGTTTTGAATTTAGGTCCTTTTCAAGGCAACCACTTTATCCAGGAAAGCAGAATGATGGATATTGAATTCAATGCTTATGGGGTGTAAACAATACTTAAAATAATCACATACTATGGACATATGCTCTCTGCTTGGTGACTGCTTTAGAAAACACAATATCTGCTCATTTCAGGAGATAACTTTAAAATGAATTCATCTTTCCAAAGATGAATTTTGTAATTTGTTAGGAAGCAACCAGTGATTAACGTAACACACACCCTAGTCTAGCCCACTCCATCCTAGGTGTTGTTCTCTTGAGGGTCCTGTCAAGTTCATGAACAGAAATGTTACAAATATCTTTTAAAACTTTTGCCAATTATCTTGAAAGTTAACTATTTTTTTAACTGATGGCCATCTATTAATGATAAAATTTTATAGTGTTCTCTTGTTTCTATGCACTTAAATAAAGAGGATCTTATTTTATCTCCTAACATCTTATGTAATAGGAAGAGTCTGGTGTCAAGTGTCCATCTGGCAAGCACGAGAACACACACAATAGAATGGGTACCTGGTTCTAAGGGCTACACAGTTGAACAATGAAGGTACCAATGAAGGTGATCTTCCAGCTCATTCAGAACATTGGGCAATAGTTCCTAGATCAATGAAGGTAATCTCCCAGCTCATTCAGTACACCGGGCAATAGATCCTAGATTATTGTGCTCAAGTAAAATTTAAAAGCATGACGGAGAGGGTCAGAGCAATGGTTCTGCAGTTATGAGCATTGGCCGCTCTTCCAGAGGACATGGATTCATTTCCTAGCACCTTGTGGTAGCTCACATCACCTGCAACTCTGGTTCCAGGGAATTCAGTGCCCTCTCCTGGCTTTCAGAGACACCAGCATGCACTCAGTGCACAGACATACAGGCAGGGAAAACATAAAACAATGAAAAATATTTCAGAACACCCCAAAGAGGGTTGCCACATTTAGAAGCTTTCAAGTAAAGGAATACATCAAGCTTCTACCTCCTAGATGGCATCATTACACTGTCTTTGTTTGCTCAACTTCATAGAGCAGAACTATAATTTTAGATGAAATGTCATTCTTAAATTTAGTTTCTTAAATAAAATATGATTTGTGGGGAGCCATTATATTCTACTTATGATCTCATTTTTTAAAACCCTCTGAGTATGGCGCCAGCTCCAGGCTACAGCAGTTCTTGGAAAGCACGCCCTCCCAGGTGCAATTTTAACAGTCAAACAGTTTGACATTTTCCCTGCATGCATGTCTGTGCATTGAGTGCAGCTGGTGTATCTGGAAGCCAGGAGAGGGCACTGAATTCCCTGGAACAGAGTTTCAGATGGCTGTAGGCTAGCACGTGGGTGCTAGGAAATGAGTCCATGTCTCTGGAAGCGCTGGTGTTCATAACAAGCGCATTTGTCCTTGTCCATGTCTTCTTGCATCTCATCACTTTGGAACCCAGTGCTAAGTTTTAGGGAGGGATGTAGCTCAGTGGTAGAGTATCTGCCTGTCGATCATCACAGCTTGAGCTGCTAAGAGTGTTTGTCAAGGATGCACAATGCTTTGGTTTCAATCTCAAGTACCAGATAAATCAGGTTTGGTGAGATGCACCTAGAACCCCAACCCTTAAGAAGTGGAGGCAGGAAGGGCTGTAAGTTCAAGGCTATTTTTAGCTGTATAGTGAGTTTTAGGCCAGTCTAAGCTATATGAGACCCTTTTTATTTAAAAAAAAAACTGTTTTATTCCTTCGCAAGTGCTGCTCTTCTACTGCCCACAGTGAAATGACGACTACTAAGAACTTACATATGGTCAGGGCACAGAGCTATTGGCATTACCACAGTGAGGCTGGCAGGGACTCAGGAAACATGCCAGTGGTACCTACTGCAGTGTACTGTAAAGACCGGAAGTTACTTCTCCTTCCCACTGCACTTTCAAACTTACCCAAATAAAAGAACTAGGGAGTTGATGCTTGTCCAAACACAGGTTGGGGTGCATCTGTTCCAATTTTTATTTATGTTTCTCCTCCCAGACTTAATTCTTTAGTATTCCCCAAGTTCCCAAGCTTTATGTGGATATACTCATGTAATTTTAAAGCCTACGATACTTCTTGTACATCAAAAGAAGTAACTATCAACTCCCATACTGTTTTGCAAACATGATCAATGCATGCCTTCTATGGGCCACCCTCTTTGATGACCTTTTGGCTTTGGGAAAGAGCCACATGGACAGTAATGTGAGAAGATGAAAAATCCACAGAGGGCTCAGTCATCCAAGACCCTGAGATCATTGATACTGCAAGACAATCTGCATGCTTAAGCCCAAGCACAATCCATAGAGGCTCATCAATGGCTGCTTGGCAAGGAAGGCCCTTCTCTAATGAATGTAAAGTCCAATAGAGACAGTGCCACAGTTCCCAAGAATAGCACACCCTCTTCTACTCCTTTAACATATACAAATTTTCACAAACAAAAATGTTTTCCATAATTTTGTATCACCAAACGGCCACAAAATAATCTATACACACACACACACACACACACACACACATATATATTATAGCACATCAAATACTCTAAAGTAATGCATGTTACTAAGTGAAGAATTTTCAGATGTGCAATTTAATTCTATTTTATTGGAGAATGAACAGGTTTGGGGAAATGAGATAATTCATTCAGAGTCATAAAAACAGAAGTAAAAATTGGAACGTGGCTCCTTCCACTCTTCATATTCCCCCCAAGAGTCTGCTCTGAGGGTGAGCCTCAAACCAAGGGAGCCATCAGGGCAGAGAGTCAGCTGACAGTAACCCGAGGGAAGCAGTAGCCCACACTGTTAAAAGTTGGGAAGTGGATGGTTTTCTGCTTCCTCATCATTAATAAACATACAATCTCCTTATTTGGTTCTTTAGAATGCAGCACATAAACCAATCGAGGACAGCCACAAACCCAGGGCAAGCACACTGGCCATTCATAAAAGAGATACTTAGAACACTTTCTTTATACGGACTCTTCAAAAAATTGGTATTTTGGTAACGCTAAATTAATTTTTTCAGGAAAATTCTGTTAATCACATATTTTTGTTGTTTATAGGGTGTGCAAGAACAGTTCAAACTATACAAAATACATTATTGATAATTTATAGATTAGAAAACAAAAAGTGTGGCTACAATAATAAGAAACTAGTAAATACCAAGGTATTAATAATGCTTGCTGTTTAAAAAACACTCACTATTCACACAAAAAAGACCTTCTATTTTGAATAGACTAGCCTTAGAAAAATTAGGATGGTTTTCTTTGAAATATGACTACTGTCAATTCAAACCAAAATTTGAACAGTATAAATCAACAGTAATAAGATCATCGTGAATATTAGCTTTGTTGTTCTTTAGATATTTTTCACACCTTGTTGGAGGGTCTGTTTGTGGCTTTTATAAAACAGAGTCACTGAAGAAAGCCACTTCCCACACAGAGTACAACAAGCAAGCAGGTATCATTTCATTAGTCTTTGTTCCTAGTTCCTATCATTTAGACTGATTAAAATGTTAATTTTTACATGTGTGACTAAAACCCACGTTGCAAACAAGCGAGGCTTCGCAGTGTACTCGCCATCGTTGCGGGTGGGTAAATTGACAACGTGTAACTGCACATTAAGACAAATGTAGAATTTAGACAAAGTATCCCGTCTGCTTTCAGATGTAGACTTTCAAACCTCAGGAAGGTTTTCGGTAGATGTCATGCCTTTTAACTTGAAAAAAGATAAGCGCAAATAAGCTCCCAATTGTCTCCCCAATATGTAAACCACATCTCGGGCTGCTGTCTCTGCTGCTCCTTTGAAGTCTCGCTGAAATGTCATGTGTTGTGAAGACTGCTGTGCATAAGCAAGACAATTTGCTCACTTTCAGAATTCTTACCGGTCTCCACTGCTATCTGGTATCCAGCCTCTAGTCTCCGCGATGACCTTTCCAGCCTCTCCGTGTTATCCAGCAGATGTGCCCTCTGAAAGGAAGGGGGAGTCAGACGGATGGCTACAAGGTTCTTTTTTGCCTTTTTAAAAAATAATGCCTTTGTATGTCCTAACATGGGGTGTTGCGGGGGCTGGTATCCACAATCCATTATAGTTAAATTTTAGCAGACAGTTCAGAGGACAGACAACAATGGATAGACCATCAACTTATTTGTTTTTGTTTTTAAAGGAGCCCCTTGTTGTGAGTGGTCACAGCAAATCTTCCTCCACACCACTGAGAAGCGCATGAAGAGCAGGGCCAACTGGATCTTTCCTGTTTTAACACAGAAGAGACACAGTGCTGTGATTTCTATTTGTGTTTAGTTTTATAAAACGCAATCATTTCCAGCGCTCACTGGTCCTTTGATTTCTGCAAATCATAATTTTTTAAACAAGAACTTTTTTATTTTTAAGAGAATGTTTCTTAGTTTGGAAATGTAGACGCTGACACATAGAACAAGGATGCTACTGGGATAGAATGCTAACCAGCACTTCCAGCTCAAGGGGAACACACGACACCAAAAACCAGGAAACACACGGATCTGTGCGTTATCCCCAAACATATGACACTAAGTTAAAGTCGACTGCTAACACACAGTGCTTTGGACTGTGCACTAAAACCACAATCTACTCTATGGAATAAAATTATATACAACTTTTTCATATTACATCTTATGGGCAAATTAGAGAACTCCAATATTTTAAACTTTCCTTTCTACATTGAGACCTTATGTTTTTGATCCCACAGCACATATGTTCATGTTACCAAAATAGATTCACAGGCTAGACATGTCTATGAATGAATTGGTATATGCATGTGGTATACATGTACATATGTTTAGATACCTAGAAATGTATGATTATGTGTGCCTGCATATTTGGTTGTGGGCAGCGTTTATACACACACACACACACATATACACATCTATGTATGTATATATATATATATATATATATATATATATATATATATTTGTATAAATTAGTTTCTCTTGCCCTATAATCAATTTTGGTGTCTGGTCAAAGAAAAAGAAAAACATGCAACCATAACTATATAACTTTGTGTTGTTGACAGATGTCACTTAAAATTGAAGCAATGCTTTCTGATAATAATAAAAAAGGAGGTGCCACATGCATTATCTGAGTGGCTGTCGAGTGAAATGATCTACCTTGCTCTAATGAGCCCCCATGGATCTTGGAGATGCAAGCTGTATTGACATGCACACTTAAGCTAATACACCTAGACCAGTGCCTGCAAGCTCTAGCAGCCAGGGATGCTGACAGAATAGCTCGCTTCCATCTTCAAAGAAAGGAAGTGATTAGTATGTTATCATTACCATTCAAAACGTGATTCCCTTATTCCCTCCCGGCACAGGTGACACATCTGAGGTGCGGCCAGACGTTGGAGGCAGCTAAAGCCACATCAAAGCTTTCCTTGAAAATTTTTTGGGGGAAGGGTTGGGGGAAAGAATCATTAAAACAATGCTTTTAGAACAGACAGACAGGACCTGATGTGAAGGTCAGGAGGCGGCAAGAGCAGTCTATAATAATTAATAGAGTTGTCAGATGCACAGTGCAGAAATTAAGAGAAATGCTGCCCCTCCTTTTGGAAAAAATAAACGAAATAAATAAAATGGAGGAAGGGAGAAAAGAGCTTCTTATTTCACAAAAAGCAAAATTGTTGAAGGCTGCACCTGAGAAGAGGAAGAGCACAGGTGCTCTCTGTGTTTGGCACAGCTATTTCTAATAAAACTTCCTATTACTAAAGCGTGCCAAAAATGTGTCTTTAATTCTGATTCTCCTCATATGCAGATTCTGGCAGTAAAAACTGCTTTTTCCTCCTCTGCATGCTGTTTTATACCCAAACAAAGGACTTCAAACTGGTGATCCTCTAAAGAAACATCAATCTGATCTGAGAAGCAAGAGTAACTTTGAATTTTAGTCCAGAGGAAGACAATTTGGGGCTTATTTTCATATTGTATAAAATCTTAAATTCAAAGAAGACATTTAGCTTAATAGAGATAAAGAAATCACAGACTATACTGGAGTTGCCTCTTCCTCAATGCTTATATATGATGGATGAACAAAAGCTAAACACGTGTGAAATAAAGTGTTTAAACGCGGGACAATTGGGGAGGCTCCAGAGCTACATGGGAAGCAGAACGTCCAAATGAACATTAAACACTGCACAGGCGGAAGTAATGGAAGTGATGGCTTCTTTTGGAGAGTTTCTCCCCATGCCACCAGAGAAAATCTCCACCCAAGAGGATGATCAGTTTATGGGCAGCTTCCCAGCAGGGTTTCCCTTCGTTTTTTGAAACTTCTTCACTGAAGTCAAACTAAAGTTTGCACCATTTACATCACCCCTCAGCTGTGCACTGCCCCAGTCGTGTAAATGAAAGGAGACACAGTTCAGCGGCACAGAGGCTGTCATGTGCCCCACACCCCATCCCAGACTCATGCTCTCATCCTCTTCTTGGACCTTTGCAGAGCAGGTGAGGGAAGCTGTGCAGGAGCCTTCAGAAGGAGCTCAGTTTGTGTGAGGCGCTGTGAAAGGGGAAATACTGGGGACGCAGGATTCCAACAGCTCGGTGTACACAGCCAACGCCAGATCAGCTCCCTCTCCGCTAAGACCCTGCCTCCCAGCATACCCTGAAAAGAGCATCACGAAGAAGGACGGGCACTCTGTGCTCCCAAACACAACAAAACACGGTGTTTTGGAAACAGATAGGTGCTTGTCTTTTTAGAAGAGATGCAAGTGAAAATTGGGGTAACATTCACTGCATAAGCACAAGCAACTCCTGACTGGGAGAAGAGCCCCTCTGAGCAATCTCCGTTTAAGCTCAGCATCACCTAATCCATAAGTATTTGTGCTGTACCGAAATCAAAGACACAGACAACACTATTCCTCAGATTATCATTCCATCACCCGGATGATCTCATTCTACTGACAATAATTCCATCACAGAACAGCTTCAGAAACATCAACCATGGTACTTACACACACAACTGTTGACAGAGAAAAACAAGAGAAATTACCAAGCAATAATAAATTACAAAAGAGATGGGGACATAATTTTCAGCTTTCAAAATTAAGAATTCCTCTGATCCTGCACTACAATGTAACAAAAATCTGGCTAATATTATACTTGTTTTTGTAAAGCACAGGAGTTTAGCCATCAGATCACTGTCGATTCGGGGACAAGAGCTTTGTGGAGTTTCTTGGCATGTGGTTGGTGTGGGAGGGGGGCGGGGGTGTACGTGCATTCAAATCATTGTTCACTTCATCAACCTTTGAACATTCAGATTCCTCAGCAAAGGGTAAGGATCTCTAAATACACAAAATAGTCCACCTCCCCGGGAAATCATGTTTATGTCATCACTCATTCAGAGAGTAATCAATAGTGTAACTAATTATACTGATTTAGTATATACATACATACACATACTTCCATGTTGGAAAGGAAAAGGCAAACCCAAAGTAAAGAGGCTATTGGTATACTTTCTCCCTCCAGCTCCCATGCCACTGTCACTTTGGCTAAGCTAGGAGCTCACTCCCGCATTTCAATCAACCACTGCTCACAAGCTTAGGAAACATCTCCAACACCCACAGAACAGCAGCTCACCATCAGAACCACCCAGGAAACGCTGCACTCAGTGTGCTCAACCAAACAACTGTGACTGCTGGGAGCAAGAGGACTATTCTATGACCTTGTGGGAAAACAGAACTCAGCGTTACTAAATAAAAAGTTGAATAGAAGCCTTGGTGGGTTTGGCCTTGGTGGAAGACACCAGCAGTACCCTGAATCATTTGGCCACAGTGACAGGCACTGCTGCAGGGACTTATGAGGCCCCTGAAGAGGCTGGAGCAGCAGGCAGAACAAGGAGAACTCCTTTGGGAGCTGTTTTTTACAGAGAGGAAAGTGCTCAACAGTGGAGCAACATTGCTGCTCTCAGGTGTCCTGGACAAGGGCAAGGGCATTTACAGTGCACAAGTTCCCCGTGGTACCTTATGTGGGACCCTGGAGTCCAGGGGTGGGTGGTGTCTCAGTAAAGTAAACCAGGATCAGAAAAGAAAATAAAGTCATAGTAACTTCACTGAGAAACGAACACAAATAAACAAATCTGAAACACCCACAATGACACTCTGCATAGTTTTAAGATATGCCTCTATTGTCCCTCTCTTTTTTGTTTTTTTGGCTTTAAAATATTAATTTTCTCTTAATGTCAGCAAAGATGAGTGAGGGCCTCGCACCAAGCACGAAGCACAGTTGCTCTAGGAGACGGTCAGAGAAGAGTTCTCAAGTCGTCACGTCAATAGTTTGGTCAAGGGAACACTTCCCCGGCAAAATGAATACAAGATCCACTTCGGATTTAAAAATAAATTTTATAAGAAAAAGCAGAACTAAGGAGAAAAAAAAGGAACTGGAAAATACTTACCTCTTCACGTAATTTTATCAACTGCAACATGAATGCACCAAAAAAAAAGATAAAAAGGGAAGACACGGCAGAAAGAAGGATCAGCTGTGTGACAGGATACAGAATTAACATTGACAATTCATCTGTTTACATGTTTAGCATTTAGAAATCACAGACAAACACATTAAAGGAGCCTAAGCACAGACTACATGCAGAGGGTTTGAACAAATAAAGATCACTTTCTCACACTGTCACATTAAACAAAGAGACTAGTGTGAATTTCTCTTTTAAAATACATCTAAGAACCATCATGAAATAAAGGGGAGCGACTTCATAGAAGTCTATATTATAAAAAAGAAAACAAGTTTACCGCGTCTCTCTTCTAAGAATGCACCATTAGAGAGGCTGTGTATATACACGATTTCAGGATGTTGCTCTATTTGGAGACTTGACAACTGACTTCAGATTTTACCAACAAATGAAAATGACCAGTAGTTCGTGCTTTGGCTCCATTAAGTATTTAAAACAACAACAAAGATAAGCTACTATTATTCTGGGTCAATGCCATACTTGCACCCATTGTATGACAGGCTGCATTGGGTTAACACTATTTCAGCTGAGAATCAACAAAAGCATGTACAAAGTAGCTATCAGAGGAGTTAATGTCAAGGCTTGTGCTTTTTCTTAAATGGTACAGCACTTACGGGGTGTGTTTTTATTTGACTTTTTGTTTCTTTATTTTTCAGTAATCTTAATCGTCCAAACTGGGACATATCAAAACAAGGAACCCTTTTCCTGTGTTTGTACTGTGGTTCGTTTTCACAAGTCAAATCAAAAGCCACTCTTTTATTTGTTAGTCAATTCTCCCACTGTGGCATTTTAATCCCCTACTTTTCCTCATTTTCCTGACAGTAACAGATGTGGAAAGCCCCTACAAACCAAGAATCTATGAAACCATACACCTGGCCCATTCTCGGTATGTTTGACATCATTCTAAAACACAAACATCACTGCCCTGGTAATACTACCACGGTTTCTACTATGAACGGAATAGGAGCCCGGGCCACAACAGACTGAGTCACATTCTAGGTCTGAGCCTTGCATCCGCAGCCATTCAGGACGATAACTGATCATCCTTAAACATCCAAGTGTCTGTAACATCGGTTACCACACTTGACACACGCGGGCCAATGTGCTACGAATGGTTCAGTGTAATTCTAAAAGTATGATGCTTAGTTTACCACGGCCCTGAATTCTCAACACTTAATGCTGATTTAGGGTCAGATCCAAGGCGGACGGGGACGCATTTCAGTTCACTCTGTTACTTCATTTTTCTCCTGGAAAGTACTTAAAATCTACAAGGAGGAGATTCAGATTGTCATAAACCCTTTATAGAAAGGGTTTAGAATTAATTGTATGGCATCTCAATCTCTACTTAGCAAAATTTTAAATGTCAAACTTTAAAAGTCCTGGTTCACACCAGACAAAAGTTATTGTTTTTAAATACTCATTCCTTTCCCCACAGCCATCCAGGGTAGAGTCTCATCTTTCCATGTGGAAAAGCAACAAATCTGTTCTCCAGATGAAGTTAAAACCTAAACTAGAATACCTGGCCTATCACACATCGGGGTCTTTTCTCTTTGCCATTTGAACATCACAGCAGAAAACCCGCAGACACTAAATCTCAGAGACAGGCAATGTGGGAATTGACCGCACAGCTCTTTCCTTCTGGGGCACTATTCTTCAGTTGACTATGATCCTTAAAGGGCCAAAGTTTAAAACCCCTCTCCCTCTGCAGCAATGGAGTCCATTGGGGCATGCCACCCTGCCATAAGCAAGGGTGTTTAAAAATGCTGCCCATTTGCCTTTTCAATGGGTTTCGAACAAAACAAAAAAAAAAAATGTTCTATCTTGTTTGTGCTGCATGGCTGCATTCAAACTCCACACCGGATTTGTAGCTAAGCTAAGTAAAGGGACGTTACTAATCTTCATCTTTCTCCCCTTTCCTTTTTTTTTTTTTTTTTTTTGGTTAGGCTGAGAGTTATGTATAGAAATAAACAGAGATGGTCGCTTTTTGCAAATTAACAATGCTTAGACTCCACTAGAGGTAGTGATTTGGACACTTTTCGAGTTACTGGCTTTATCATAGACGCGCCATGAAAGTGTGCAAAACCATCATGCTGGCTTATGGTAATCCACGTCTTTTTTTTTGAAACAAAGATTTCTCCCCACAACCCCACCCGGAATGCAGAATTTGATACAAGAGGTAATCTGTTCCTTTGTGGGCTGAAAAAAAAAATCTGGTTTACGCTGGTTTGAACCAGTGGAATCTCTTGTGGTTAAGCCTTCTGCTGTGACTAAAATCAAAACTGCACTGTGGAGCATGCAAGGGTGGGTGGGTGCGCATGCGTGCACTTCTGTGCATGTGTGAGGCGCATCACGTGACTCCCAGAACTCCCGAATTTTTTTTTAAAGCTGATAACGCCACTGCCGTCTCTGTCCGCATACAGATAACGAATAAATGCTGAACTCTATTAAACGCCCTTTACACATTATCGTGGGTCGAACACACAATTTTCTGAACTTATGATGACAGTCTATTTATTTTGCTAGAAACCCCCAGCACGAAGGAGCAGATTTGTGCCTGGTAATGATCTGCTCCGCCGGGGCTATATGAAATGATACCGACCTTCTTCAGATCTTGCGGAATTAAATTGACCGACTTCACCCCCTGGTCTGTAGCTGAAGTTTGACACACTTTACGCACAGCAAGCCCAAATCGGAACTTAAGAGAACCTTGTATTAAAAAATTAAGCAATCATTATCTGTTAAATATTGCTTTACCACAAAAATTTCATATAGTGGGAACTATTCCACCCTTTATACAGTTAAAAAAAAAAAAACTTCTTTGTAGGATTTTCTCAGGCATTGGATCAATATAATTTTGCATATGGCAACAGAGAGTCTACTGATGTCCAAAAAAGATCTCTGGGCATTTTGTTCTCGCCATTGCCACACCCTACTCTGAAAGTCTATGGCTTTATTCTATAATCTATTTTTTGTTTGAGAATGGCTGTCATGAAAGGAAACCAAGTTAAAACACTGTTAAGCTTTCCACTCTGGGTAAATGCTGCGGCACTGCAGCCAGCAGCTCAAGTCTTGAAGAAACGACACTGCACACTGGAGGACAGACATGAAGGTGTGGGACACACTCTGGGGAAGGGACCAGATCCTCGGCACTTCCAGCTGCAGGGCAGATTTTGACACACACCCCCCACCCTTGGTAAATCCAGGATGAGGTATATTTAATCAAATGAAACAGATATGAGTCAGAAATTGTGCAGGAGTTGATCTGGAATGCAATTAAATGTATATTGTACTGAGGACATTAAAGATACTCTTGAAAAAATCCTTAATTGAACAAACAGTGGCATTCCCAATCATGGCAGATGTATAAATACACCCCAAAGTAAATCACTGTTATTGATAGTCAGCTACGCGCATCAACAGTCGGCCGTACATGTCTAACAGGACTGGCCACAAACGCCACAGAGATGGAGCTGATTGCTACTGTGTTCGTGCCTGTCCAAAGCGTCACAAGGAGCCACTGTGTGGAGTTGTGCACAAGGCACTAGGAATGAAGTCAGCACTTTATATGCTTGCAGTCACAGTTACTGGCTGTTATTTTGTTTTTTCCCCTTTCAATCACTCTTGATTTTTAGTTGACAGATATATGCTAATTTAAGTGACTATGACTAATTTTGTTTATACCCAAGCTTTATGTGTATATTAAAAGTGTTTCTTAGATATACAACAAAAAGGCCTGAAAGCCAGTGCTTCAACAGTCAGCATGAACATAAACTTCTCTCTGGGCAGAAGAGAGGTTCTTATATAGATCGTGGGTAGTCATTCCACCCACAACTCCCACCTTCTGCTCTGTACAAATGTATATGAAGAGCCCATTAAAACCTTTTCTGTAGAGACACTCTGCTTTGACTGCTGAGTCAGGGCAACACTGATAGAGAATAAAAGTTATTTTCAAGTGACGTCTGAAGCCAGTGGTTAAGGGCGTGCTCATTTAAATTCCTATATTATGACAAAGACCCTCAACACAGGGCTTAATGACTTCATCGTGTCACAGAGATTCTGCTCTGCAAGGTAACAAATTATCCAAAAAGCTTAGCATGATCTCTGTGAATGTTCACAGCTCATTCAAATGTGAGGCTGGAAAGTCCACGGAGCCGTAGCCGACCATCTCCACGCCCTCAGGACAGCAATCCGCTGTGCCGTATTTACTGGACTGGCAGCTCCTTACCAGTTTCAGGGCCAGCACTTTCAGAACTTGTGAGTTTCATTCAGATAAGTCTAGGGGAAATCTTTGCATAATCACTTTAAACTGACAGGATATAACTTGAAAAATTCAAAAATTATGAGCTCAAATCTATTTTTGTGGAATATTTTTCTTTAGGCATAAAAATCATACTTATATGTATGTAAGGCTAATATTTTAGGTGCATTAAATGTCCCTTAAGAGAAGTGAACAAGGTGTAAAAAGGATCCTGTCAGAGAACTACAGCATCATCAGAACACACAGCCTGGGTTAGGCAGGAGCCCCTCCCTTCTGTCCATTCTCCAGCAGCTGCTCAGACTGGGAAAGTCTACAGCTTCCAAAGGAACTGACAGGGAAGCTGCACGTACACTTTTTTTGTTTGTTGTTTGTTTTCTTTTGCAAAGAAGATAATGCTTTTTCTTTTTTACAGTAGTTAGAGAAGAAAATTGTGATTCATTCCAAGAGTCATGCATAATCCAAACCTCACTATAAAAAGGCAGAAATATTTTCCTCTCATTCTCCCATTTTTTAATCTCTTCTGAGTAACCCCCCTCCCAACATTACCGTTCACTTCTGTTCTGCACCACCCCTGTTAGCTGTCCTCACATTTCAGTCACGGAAGTTGACACTGCAAGTCAAAGCTGAGTGATGTCTGAACTCAGGCTGATACCATCCACATAGAGGAGGAGGCAACCCAAAGAAATGGCCTGCTCAGTGATTCTTCTCCCACTTTTCGGGTGGGTGGACGGGTGCCTTTGTCACACCAGCCTCCGCCCAGGTTACAGTGCTCACATTCTGTGCTGCATAATTTAGTGCCAGTAAATATAAACCCTGGAGTGGGAGGTGCGTGCTGCAAACTCTGCTGGATGGATGGGCTGCAGCTTCCTCCAGTCACAGCTGTGTCTTAGCTAGGGAGTGCTCATTCTGGGGGCAGAGAAGCAACCCTTGGAAGAAGGTCTTACCTACGGCGCTCCCTGCTACCCAGCAGTCCCCAGGGCTGTGAGAGACAAAGTCAGCTCTACAGCAAGCATCTTGAGACAGGCTTTTAAAGAGTTGCACATACCATACCATGTGAACTTACGGTGTCTGCAGCATTAATTCAAAGAGAGTAGCAGGGTGCTAATTACACTCATGACAGGACTGTACGGCCGTCCAATGAGGAATGGCGGGCAAGCTGTAAGAACCGTTTACGAAGAAACTGTATCGGGAATGTGTTTTCTGTATGCAGATCCTAAGGTGCACGCAGGGCTTATCCTATTGCTATTGTCACCACTGTCACCACAGAAGCAGGGCAGGCCTCTGCCTGGGCATGCACACAGTCCCACATTGGTGCTGGGCATTTGCATCTGGTGAATGTATTTTTAAGAAGCCACACAATGGGAGCCGGGGCTGTGAGGCTGGATTTTGAAAGCTTACTTTCATTTGTTTGGCTGCGAGTGTTGACTTAATTGTGCTGCATTCCTATCAAAGCTGCATCATGTACTTTTTTACTCCTCTTACATGTGTTTGAGGTGAAGACCTTGGCTTTGTCTGCAAACAGCGTGTTTCAAGTTATTCCTTAAGTACTAAATAATAAAGAAAAGAGAAGAAAAGAGTTTTTTTAAAAGATGGCAGACAGTGATCACGAGGTAAAGGGTTAAATGTAAGATCTCCGAGAAACATTTTGAAGTTGATTAAGACTCCAGCTTTGCATTAAACAGTATCGCTTCCACATGAGTTGCTGCTAACACTGTCAGGGAGCAGCTTGAGAGCCCAGTGTGCCTGTGACCTCCTTCACCCTCCAGCCACCCACCAGGCCTTCCTCATTAGCATTCTACCTGGTTCTCGGAGGAATTCCCATCATCCCCTAGGAGCTCATTCCGTACTTCGTCACTGTAGGCAATCCGTGACCTTTTCTATAAAACAAAACAAAAAGGGAAAGAGCGAGGTGAGCGTTAGAAAGTAAACACGGCCAAGCAGTCCTGGTATCAAGGCGGCCATCTCAGACCCTGGGAAGCCCCCTAATGGAAGCCTACCGGTAAAGCTGTGCAGCTAATTCAAAGTTCCCCAACACAGCTTAATGGAAATTACAAATTTGTTTTAAAAAGAAATACCAATAATGAAAGAAATTTCTGCTTTGTGTTAATGTTCTATTATTTTTCATAAGTAGATTAAAATTAATTTATTCTTCTGCATGTTGTTTGAATAAAACTACTAAACTGGAAGAAACACAGTTATACTCAGATTGTAATTAAAGCAGGAGTGTATGGGAGTCTCCGGAGGAATTGCACTGTGCAATCTAGAACAACCTCTGAAAGTCTCCACTTCTAGGATAATATTCCTGTCACCAACTGTCTGGACAAGCACATGTATATTTCATCACTGGGATGCTACTCTCCAGGAAGAGAAGGGACTGTAAGCCATTCCCTAGCTAGCGGTATTCAAATGTCCCCAACTCATCTCTAAGTAATAGCTTAAGGAAGAGCAATGCTGGTGAAGGAAGGGAGAGAAAGTGGGGGGTGAGCAGACAGACAGACACTGGTAACACAAAGAAATTCCCCAGTTCCTGTAACTAAAGGCTATGAGTCACTGTCTTCAGTGAATCGTGTTTGGAGCATCCATCCCCTCACCTGTCCGGTACACTGCGCATTGTGTACACTGCAGTCAGAGGGACATGGCTCCAAGCCATTCATTCCTTGTCTAAATACACAAAAATCAGTTGTGAAACTTGAGTCTGGTTATCAGTCCCTACTTCATCTTCACCATGTCAGTCAGGGTCAAAAATCATTTGCTGCTGACTTTGCTTCTCAACTAATTAAGTAAAACGGTCAGTTAGAAAGTGGAGGGCGGGAAGCTGTCATGTCTTTCCTGGACTCCAACGATCTAGGACTTAAAGTTCTTATTTGTTCATCTATGGTCTGGAAGAAAGCCCTAGAGTTTCAAAGAACTACCTGTAATTCATAAGCAAAAGGCAACTGGAAGATTACGATTCTATTTTTCTAGTAGTCAATGAATAACACTGCTCGGTAGCAATCGGCTCATTAGACCTTAAAATCATATTATTTAAGGGAACCTCAGACAAGAACAACCACGGAGTTACAGATCATTTAAAAAGCTTGTCTTTCTCAAGTGGGTGCCTTATCTGAAGCACAAAACACAGAAAATATTCTTTCTTTACTATTTTTTCAATTCTCCCAAGTGTGGCACATAACAGAGAATTTGGTTTATTGCATATAATTCAGTTTATTGCTCTTCTAGATGTAATTAAGCAAATGATATGCTGGATCTAGCAGAACCCAGTTTTAAAAGGCTTTCTGGAATATAAATAAACACACACCACCCAGATACTTGTTTGAGGAAAACAGTAGAGTATCATGGAATTCTAAAGGGAACTCTCCTTCCACTGTGCCTAGAATCTCAGGATCATGATGCTCAGCTGAGTTTCTTCTACCTTATAAACCAGCTCTGGAGAGACTCAGAGAAACAACACAGAGCTATAAAAACTTAGGGATAAAGGAGACAGATGTGTCCATCCCTGCCTGCCCAGAGTCTCCCTCTTCAACAGGGCTTTCCTGCCACAAACATCTGTCTTAAAATTTAGCAGCTGCAATAGGTCTCTGTGAGGAGATAAATAAGACCATAGCTGCGTTGCAGGGAGAAGAACAGGTCAGAGACATAAGGCCTTGGTGTGTGGTCAGTAAGGACATCAATATGCAAGCTCTTCAAAGTTCAGGTGTGGCCCAACCAATTTGTCTGTGAACTCGCCAGATATTTTCTCACCACAGAGAGCACATGCTTAACCTGGTTCTCCTGTGGAAGCTACTGTGGATTGCCCATTTCTACTGACTTCATACAGAACATTTTTAAATGCTAAGTACAAGGTCGGCCCACTTAGATCATGCCAAACCTCTCTGCCCACTTGAAGACCCCACCATCACAGTCTCAAACCAGGTAGGTGAAAGTATTTTACAGCATTAAAGGAAATGAAAACCTTTAAGACAGGCTGATGTATCAGAGCTGCCTTTTGCATTATTCATTTCATCACGATGGGGGACTAAAACATTCCACAGGATGCAAAAATATCATATGGAGATTGTTTTCTGTTTCCCCCTTTTTACCAAAATACCAATAAATTGGCATAGATTGTGCAATTCCATTATGTTCTTATTTAGATTTATCATACTTCAAACAAAGACAACATTACAAATGTAGAGCCCTGGTTATCTGATCTTGCTCTGGTCAGGAGGCACTGCTTCGGCAGCAGCAATGAAGAGAATGGTGCTCCCATAGAGGAGGAGGCACCCATAGTTGTAGGTGGTCTCTGTGAAAGGTACGCCTCACCACTGGGACAAGAGGTAGGTCGTGGAGGACGTTTCTGGCTGTAATTAAGCAAATGATATGCTGAGCGTAGCAAAGTGTTTCCTGGCAGACCCATTGCAAATAGGAATAACTACCCATGAGAACTGTACAATGCCATTCTAGTCTGCACTAGAGTTTCATTTTCCAAAAATAAAACAAATTCAGGCTGTTCTTTATTAAGAATTATATTTGGAAGACCAACATTTTCTCCTAATTTCTCAGCATTTGAATTTTTAAGTAAGCTGACTGTATGTCATAACCACAACTCACTCTTTGAAATCATCGCTGTGCTGCTTGAAAACAACAGCAACAACGAAGATGAAATTCTTTCCAATGACAATTGGCTTGTTTTAAGGATAATCAATAAATCATGTTATCTTTTGTGGAATTTTAAAAACTCATGCTGGATTACTAATTACCTACATGATACTTTAGTTTAGAAGATTCTAAATTAACGAATTGAAACCTTTACTGTATCCTGATAAACCTAAAACATTTTTACTTTATTATTAAGACTATAAAATCTGTACTTTAGCCAAATGCAAGCATGAGAATTTGAGCTGGAAATGTCACACATTCAGCTACAGCTTGAAGGAACCCAATTCATAATGCATTTTATAAATAGTTAATGACTTCTATACATAAGCTAACCAGGCAAATCAAGAAATTGTCAACATTTTTAGTCCTGGTTGTCAGTTACCACTGTCTGCTGGTGTTTTATATGTGGCTGCAGGAGAAGTCCACTGTCTGCTGGTCCCTATGTGTGGCTGCAGGAGAAGTCCCCTGTCTGCTGGTCTTTATGTGTGGCTGCAAGAGAAGTCCCCTGTCTGCTGGTCTTTATGTGTGGCTGCAGGAGAAGTCCCCTGTCTGCTGGTCCCTATGTGTGGCTGCAGGAGATGTCCCCTGTCTGCTGGTCTTTATGTGTGGCTGCAGGAGAAGGCCACTGTCTGCTGGTCCCTATGTGTGGCTGCAAGAGAAGTCCCCTATCTGCTGGTCCCTGTGTGTGGCTGCAGGAGAAGGCCACTGTCTGCTGGTCCCTGTGTGTGGCTGCAGGAGAAGGCTACTGTCTGCTGGTCCCTGTGTGTGGCTGCAAGAGAAGTCCCCTGTCTGCTGGTCCCTGTGTGTGGCTGCAGGAGAAGGCCACAGTCTGCTCAGTCTGTAATCTACTGTAATGCCTGGCCTATACCATAAAGGTGGAAAAGCTTCACATTGCAATATATCAAACACACACACATGTGTGCATGCACACTTGTTTAAGAGCAGGCCTCACTTTAGTTGTGTAAAACTTACTCTCTATGATTTATACTTCATACTTCAAATGAACTAGATAGTGTTGGAAAACTCTACAGAACAGACACGAGAAAACTGTGACAGATTAACAATCCCTGTGCAGTTAGAGGGACCATGTTTATCTGACGACTCTAAAATGACGACAAAAGTGCGTCTGTAGTTATAAAAATAAGAATTTCACATGTAAAGAGATTCTGGTTGATAGGAACAGGATGCTTGTGTACTGATTGCCTGGTTTTCTTAAAGCCAAATTCAAACAGAGACACTTTTTCAGTTTGGTCTAGAAATTTGGTCTGAAATAATCTAGCTACTTGACCTACTCTTTGACATTTCCCAATTGAGCTCACTGTGTCTGTGGGCACACATTGCAAAACTGGGAACAACATGAGTTAACTTAGTTTAAATTAATTAAAACTTGTCATCTCTGGTACTACCTGCTATATGACTCTATACGGGACACACTGTATATGCAAGCAGAATGAGGTTCTATGGCCTACCACAAGCAAAAACATAACAATGAGGTTGGTTTATTACTAAAGCGTATATGAGAATTTAATTTCCATGTCGTGCACATGGCAAAGCAATTGCTTAAATTGCCTCACCTGGGAATTTAATGCAATGTTATCATCAGACCAGCCACATTGTAAGTAGATTTATAATGCTTTCCATGTGCTGTGCTTGGTTGCATATGAATTAAGTAATGATCTGGTATTACAATAAAATCAGCTAGTTCCCACACCTGGCAAACAGGATATTTCACTAAATTAATAGCCATACAGCTATATCACAAGGCATAGAAGAGGAAACCATCTCCAAGGCATTTGACTTGAATCTTACATGGGAAGCAAAATAACACCATGGATATGTACAATGTCACTATACTGAATGAGCTGCTCAAGACAATCTGTTTCTAACATCTGTATTACTGAATTAAGACCTTCGCATTCCCATTCAGTCTTGGCCTAATTTCCTTCATTCAGTACTCTAATTACTAATCAGCAATCCGCAAAATTCACAAACACCGAGAAAGCCCTTTATTCTAATCTACATGCTGCAGACAGCCAAATAATTGATACAAAGTGCAGTGTGGGTTTGGTGTAATGAAAGGAACAGCTTGTCCCACTTCCTAATCAGATTGGTCTATAGCGGCCAGAGTTAATAGATTTCTCTATAGTCCTAAAACAAACTAAGCATGCTGGCCAGACTTTTCCGTTGCTTCTACCATGTTTTTCAGTCTCCTTATATTTAATAATGCCACAGTTACTAG